AGTACCCACATGGTAGAAGAAAAGAACCAACACCTACAGGTTGTCCTCAGTCCACACATGCACTGTGATACCACAAATACTCACATACAGACACAAAATAAATGTTAAAAATATTTTAAGAAAATAGATGGTCTAAGTCCTGTGTCCAAAATAAGTACTATCTTTAACAATAATGTCTTACCTTCGAGTTCTGTGAGGTAATCAAGAGATGTGGCAAAATCCTGTGTTATTTTGGAAGTTTCTTGGACTACCATGACCAACAACTCAAAGGGAGGTTTCTCCTGTCTGGACCTGTTTCTTACATAGCCTTCAGTTATACACATACACTCATGTACAGATACTGTATGTGTAGCCACTAAACTAATAGATTTCCCTCTGATTTTCATACTACCTAAGCACTATTTATTGTTAATCTCGCTCCCTGTCTAAACCTCCTTCCTCCCTCCCCAGTTAAAGTACCACAATTTTTCCCGCTTTCCCCTTGATAATAACTGTCTTATGATCCCCCCTCTTCCTGAGCTCCTTCTTGCCCTTTACCCCATGGTTGCTTGTATATCTTCCCTCCTCCCTTCCCAGTTTAATAACCCCATTTCCCCTTGCTAACATCTGTCTCCTACGATCCCCCTCTCTTGGGCACTTTCCCTTCATGGTTCCTTTCCATTTTCCTGACTTCTGGAGTTCTATCAGGATATGTACTCACATATAAGGATCTGGAGCTAAGATCCACAAATGAGAGAGAACATAGTTTGATTTTCTAAGTCTGGGTTACTTCGCTTAGTATAACAGTTTCTAGTTCCTTCCATTTACCTGCAAATTTCATGATTTCATCTTTACCACTGAGTAGAACTCCATTATGTAACTATACCAGACTTTCATCATCTGAGCTGGAACTGAACTGGAACCTCCTCCCTGAAGAGTAGCTCTCATAGTTTTAGAGGACGCTATGCAAGCTGCTGAGGGAGAAAAATCAATCAACAGTCCAACCCCAGCTTTAAAGCCTAATAATCACAACAATGACCTGCAGAGTAAACTGTATGGGTGCAGTAGTGGCACTTTTATCTTGGGAATAATCAACAGCTTTCTAATTAGACTTAAAGCCCACTCAATGGGAGGAAACTCATGTGTGGTGCTGTAAAGACAGCCAAATACACATGGCTGGAGAGGCCATAGATCCTAAAGAAAAACCTGTCTATCACATCCCTAGACAAACATAATTTCTTACTGTATGTTAAATATGGATCTTTATATTGACAGACAAGTATACCAGTCACCACTCATCAAAGTTTCTTTTGCCACTGATGGAGACTATTACAGAATTCCACAACTGGTCACAGACAGAGAATAAGTGTCTGTGAGATGCCCAGCCCTAAGTGACACATCTACAATGGACTCTCCACATCTAAGGCTCACGGAACATAGTGGAATAGGGGTAGAGAGAATGCTAATGCATCTCTCAACTCTCACCAGCAAATCATCTTCATATAACAGGGGGCAATGAACATAGAAGGCAACAACTGGCCAAAGTATAGAGAATACAAGACTGTAGCGTATGTGTGCCTGGATAGGATGCCTATATTAAACCTTACCCATTCATGGCTCAGGGACCATCTCGGAAGAGGGGGCAAAAAGATTGTAAGAGCCAGAAGTGGTGCATGACAATAAGGAAACAGAGGCTCCCAGACTTCTGGGAACTTGCTCATAAGAGCCTACAGCAGGGGCTGGAGAGATGTCTCAGCAGTTAAGAACACTGGTTGTTTTTGCAGAAGATTGGGTTCAAATCCCAGCACCCACATGACAGCTAGCAACTGTCTGAAACTCCAGTTCCAGGGGATCCGATGGCTTCTTCTGTCTTCCATGGGCATTGCATGACACGGGTGTACTTACCTACATGCACGCAATACATGAATACATATAAAATAAAAATATTTTTTTAAAAGAGCCTCCAGCAATGGTGACAGCATGTACAAGACCCATGAGAATTCAGACAAAAACTCAGCATAGAACTAGGAAAATGGACAGAAGGCCCCAGCCTTAGCTGAAAAACTATTGGCAGCTGAGTTGATCTTTTTTTAAGGGGGTTACTTTAGATACACAGACTAGATTCCAATGGATGAACTCACACCAAAAGACATCTGGGTATACAAACTTAACTTGATAGGCCTGAACATATATGACAGAATGCATTTAAAATTGTGGGCAGGCTATGGGGGGGTGCAGATGAGAGAGGGAATCTAAACATGATCAAGATATATGAAATGCACAAAAATTCAATAAAAGTATACATTAAAAAGAGAAAATAGATGCAACTGGAAATCATTCTATAAAGGAAAAGGTCAAGAACAAATAGTGTTTTTTTCTCTCATTTGTAGATGTGAGATATCATACAGAAACATAAAATAGTTTTCATAGATGACAGGAAAGAAGAAGTGAGACTGTCTGGGGGAGAGAAGGGGGTGAGTTAGGGAGGGAAGGGAGAGAGGATAGGCCCCTAGAGGCAAGCACTATCTAAGGACATGATTTACTTGAAGGAAAATGTTTTCATGAAACCCATCACTATGTGTAATAAGTGTACACCAATAAAATAAATAAAAAAGAAACTGAGGCCTAGGGTATGAATTAGGTATAGAATGTTTGAGTGGCATGCATGCAGAAGAGGATGGGGAGAGGATGAGAGGAGAAACACAAAAATGACTGAAAGAACACTGGAAGCTCATCATCTGATGTTAGCTAACAATGAAGTGTAAACATCTACATGCAGAATGAATTCAAACACTGGTGTTTCCTTTAGAGTTTGGGACTGTGAATTACATTCTATAGGCTATGGGGTACTTGGCAAGTTTTCCTGAATAAGTATATATTACTTTAATAACTGGAAGTAAAAATCAGTTGCTTAGCAACAAAAAACCCTAGAGATTTATAGTTTTCTCCCACATTAACACTTAACTGCATATTTTAAACTACTCCAATACAGTTTACATTCCCTAGATGGCTTCACATTTTTACAAAGTATCCAAGCAACTTTATATTTTTACTCGAAATGCGCTAAAGCCTTATATTATTCATTTCCACTCCAGATTTCTAAGAAAAATACACACATATCATTTTTGCTCTAGATATTTTCTAAACTTTCCCAGGGGAAAACAATAAAAGAGTTTAAATAACTAATTCAACAATTCACTACTCAAGTTACCACAAAAAATTTTCAAATTATAAAATTATCTCAGACAAGATTTATCATTAAAATTAATTTTTCTCTGCAGAGTCACGAAGGCTGTGGCAATAGTTTAACAGAATTAACATACCAAAATTTGTCAAACTACATTTTAAATATGCACAGTTTATAGTATACCATTTGCACCTTAGTAAAAATGTTAAATAAAATAGCCAGGCGTGGTGGCACACGCCTTTAATCCCAGCACTCAGGAGGCAGAGGCAGGCGGATCTCTGTGAGTTCAAGGCCAGCCTGGTCTATATAGTGAGTTCTAGGACAGCTGGGGCTACAGGGAGACCCTGTCTCAAAAAGACCAAAAAAAAAATGCTAAATAAAATATCAAAAACCAGCAGGTATTAAAGTATGATTAAAAGGCTTGAAAAAGGGCACTAGAAAGATGGTTTTTCCAGAGGTCCTGAGTTCACTTCCCAGCACGCATGTAGGGTAGCTCAAAGCCTCTGGAAACTCGGCTCCAGGGGACCTGATGCCCTTTTAGCCTTTTTAGCACCTGCATACATACGTACACACTGTATTAGTTACTTTTCTGTTGCTGTTATAGAAACACCATGACTAAGGGAACTTATAAAAGGAAGAGTTTATTTAGCTTACAGTTCCAAAGGGGCAAGAGTCCACCATGTTAGGGAGGCATGGTGGCAGAGGTGGCTGAGTAGGAACAGAAGCTAAGCTCTCACATCTTCAAGCAGGCATAGGAAACAGAGCAACTAGAGGTCCAGCAAGGCTTCAGAACTCTCTAAACCCACCCCCAGTGACATGCTTCCTCCAGCATGGCCACATGTTCTAAGACTCAACCCCCCAAAACAGTGCCACCAACTGGGGACAAAATGTCCAAATACTTGGAGCTTATGGTGGACATTTTCTTTCAAACCAACACACACACACACACACACACACACTTCATACTTTTTAAAAAAGGATTGAAAGGAACACACACCAAATAAATAAATGAAGTTAGTAAATAATCAAAGCTTAAATGGGATACACCCTCACCAAATAAATTATGTTAATCAACCAGTAAATCAATAAATAAAAAGAACCACTCCTTAAATGCATCACCAATTTTATTTACAAATGCAACTGAACAGAAAGGCTCACTAGTTTCTGGAGAAAACTGGTGTACAAACCATGGTTATTTTTCATTATTGAAAATAAGTGACTTTCTACTGGAATTTGCTTAGTAACAACAGTTTCTTGTGAAGAAAATAGAGCTCCTCCCAAGCACATAAAATGTTACATAAGCAGAATTATTTTTAATCAGAATACTTTGGTGGAAAGAAGGACACTAAAAGCAAATTTATGGTGGATTTAAATGAAAATTTTCATACAGTTCCACATTAACTTAGAATACATTACAATAAACAGAGTAAACACAATTACATATTTTTATATTAACTATTTCAAATAATGCTTAAGAACTTAAAAAAAATAATAAAATACCCTCTTCAAAACACCACTAAAGAGTCAAACTAGATCATCATCAACCCTAAAAATATATTTTTTAAGTTCTTGGAGTTTTTTTCCACTTGTGCTTTTAAGATACTGAATTCAAAAAGTAAATACTGTACTTTCCCCCCGACACATAATTACCTTCTCATAAATAAACCACAAAAATATAGGTCCTACCAACACTACAGGGTTCCTATTTCGTCTAACAAGGCAAAAAATTATTCTTTTTAAAAAAGACGGGGAAAACCGCACAACGTGTATTTATAGATCTACAACAGCAGCAACCACCTCTTCTTGTATCTGCAACAGTGCTTTCGAATGGAGGCTGACATCACATGGCGGTTGGCCGTCCAGCTGACCGGGCAAGGAGAAAAGAGAGAAAAGTGCTCAGATTCACAAGCATGTGATGGCGGCACATGAAGCATAGCAGTCATCGCTCAGAGGGGCCCAGTGAGGTAGAGAGAGCTGTCTGTCACTTGGTCTTAGGATAAATGTAGGCAAATTGTAGCCTCTGGGCTTTGGAATTCTTTATTTGCAAAACACGAAGATTAACTGTTGATACAGGTTAAAAAAAAAAAAAAAAAGAGCTTCAATTCTCTATTATTTGCACAGAAGGAGAGAGAGAAGGCATGGGCAATTTTACAACAATAATTCCAAAAATCAACTGTATTTGGCTTTGGAATAAAGAGAGGAAAAGAGTGCACACACACACACAACCCAAACCCAGTATATGCCCAGCCTTGACATTCTCCAGCTTCAAGGTCAGTGTCCAGGGAAGGATCAAGAAAAGGTGGTTCAGAAGCCACCAACAGATAAAAGAATTGACAGATTTAAGTCAGTTCCAAACACTCTTCACATAAGGGGCCATATAAATACCTCTGAGCTCAAAAGCAAAAGATTTTGTTGATACCACCTGCAACACCCTTTTACAATAAGGAAGAAAAACGTTACCAGCATCAAGGTTCAAAATTATATACAGTAGTAATTGTTATCTTGCTGTAACTATAAATGACACACAACCTAGCTATGCTGCTCTGTACTTTATAATACTCAAACTCATGCTTAGAAAGAAAGTAGCATTTAAGTTTTCTTTAAAAAAAAAATCAATGACACTGAAATACCATATAAACAGAATTAAGGCTCTTTTTACCCCTCCCCAAAAAATATATATAGATACATGGTTATCTATTAACATAAAGCATAAACTGACACTCTTACTTTAAATCACCATCTTTAGGGATGGTCATATTTTAAATCACATAATCAAATCTCATCATTAAATAATAGAAATAAACTGATGATGAGAGCCCAAGCCTCAATCAAGAAGCAGATTAGACTTATCTTAACCCTCTGCTCTGTACTTCTGACTTCTCCAGGATCTCTACAAATAAAAACCGGTATCCTAATTTCTGGGTACAAATCCCTCTAGTTCCTCCTCCCCACAACCCTCCACTATGTGGCTGGGATTAGTTACATAGTCTCTTTGAAGGTGGCAGACTATCATCCCTAAAGCCCAGAATCCTATGGCAGTGAACCTGAGGAGGAGGAGGAAGGCTCAGGGAAAGGCATGGGAACCCTTGATCTCCTCAAAAGACAAGAAATTTTCTCTCTGATTTGCTCTCTTACATTTGAATCGGAGATAGCAGTCACTGCAGTACAGCTGGTAGTTTCGGATTCTGACCTCAGCTCCTGAGGAAGAACCTCCGAGGTCACACTCACAGGATACACACTGGGGGAACAAAAGAACACCTACAATTAGTCGCAGAAGAAAGGAAGGAGGGAGAGAAGGGGGAGGAGTGAGGACAGAAAGGAGGGAAGGAAGAAGGGAGGGAAGAAAGGAAGGAAAGAGGGAGGGCAGGCGGGAAGGAGGGAAGGAATGCAAGCAGGCAGCAAGCAGGATGCATCTTCTAAGCGCTTGGATACATTATAACAAAGCCAAGGAAACAACAAAATAGGCCACAAAATAATTACTGGATTAAAGTCAAGCCTGCCAGATTAGACACTATGAATTCGTTAAGCCAATTTTAAGAGCCAAGATGATCCTTCTAAATACACTGAGGTTGGGGGTAAAAATTTGCTGATTGGTTTAAAGACATTTAGTCTTCATTCCCCCAGGGAAATGGAGGCTAGTCATTTTCAGCTGAAAAACCGAATTTGGATACCTGGCACCAGTCTGAGATGGGTCAACTCCCAACAGCCCAGAGGTGGTGGCTTGGCAAGTATTCCATGGGTTTGCCTCACTTCAAGGTCAGGGATCTTGGTTCCCTGTGTTCAAACACTATTTGGACTCATTCTGCTCTGTGTGAGTACATTCCAAACTAGTGCTGGCCATGCACAGGCAAGCTGTGGTCTCTGGGACTCCAGAATCAACAATGAAGAAGCTTTCTTCTGGCCCAAAACAAGTTCAAAAATTAAACAGATGTATATTTAGAGAGAGAGTGCGCAAAACAAATAGCTACAGCCTGAGCTCCTTCTTACCTACAAAAAATATATCAGGTATAAGCAGGCTGTGCAACTGTGAAAATATTTACAGTGGTTTTCCTTCCAGACGCTAAAAGCTGTACTTTCAGACACTGATAACTGCATGCCCCTATACCGCTAATAACATCGGTAAATTATATTTTCAGACTGCCTATGACAGTATGCCAGAGAAAACATTATGTACTGTAAACTTTATTTATAGAATTATAACAGATTAGAGCTAGGAAAAGCAGAGTTCTTCCAAATTTACTTTTTATAACAAGTTCAAGTTTTGAGAACTAAGAAGTAGCAAGTGATTTGGGATTCCAGCACAGCATAGACCGACAACACAGCGCCTAGCTTGCTACTGGCACATCCACAACCCAGTCCAGCGGCTCAAAGAAGCCATGCACTCTCGAAGCAAAGCACTGTGGGACTGCAGGCTGTTTGTCTCCATCTCACCTTAAAACAATGTAAATGATAACAAAGACCCAGGGACTCGATGATCATGGCAGCTCCTTTGCCCAGAATGTTATTACAGTAGGAGCACATGCGCTTCCCACTCACTGACCTAGATGCAGAACAAGAACGGAATGGAGGCTTTCATCTGGGCAGCTCCAGGTTTGTATTTAAAGTCACACACTGGCATTGACAGCAATAATTACAATTTAAGAAAGGTTCTCTATATCTGTGGGAGAAAAACTTTCACCAGTCAACTAAAAAATGCCCTAATAATAAAGTAACCTTGAATGATCTCCATGGTGGCTCTGGCAACGTTGACACCCGTTCACCTAAAAGAACAATTTTGATGTGCTTGGTCCACTTGGGATTTCATGACACTATTGCCCTGAGATTACATATGGACTCAGAATTATCTCCAGTCCTCTGACCCATTATATCTTCTTCTAATTAAGTTGGCTTATATACAAAATTCCAGTCATGACAATTCACCCTTGGTTTCATCCAGGTTCTCTATGGCTTGCCTTCTTCCCTTACTTTTTCTTACTCAGTTTTCTAGTTGAATGTCTGAGCACTTCCCTGACCGTGCCTCTGTTGAAAACAAAATAAACACCACCCAAGAGCTACCACTAAGCAGGGAAGGGGAAGTCCCACTTTACTTTTAGATCTAAGGCTTGTCTTTCCCAGTGCTAAGGTAACACTGCCTTCATTCCTACTGCCTCATCCAGTCAGCAGAAACAACAGCAGTGTCAGATGTGGAGTGTCAGATGTGGAAAGGACCTTCTACTGGATGAAACCCCTCCCTGGAAGAGAAGCTCTAGCTGCACCCCTCATAGCCTCACACATGAACTACCGTGGGAGAACAAGGGAATGATGGATCTCCTCTGCATAGACTTCATCTTCCCCCCAAACTGACCATAAATCCTCACCCCTTTTCTCTTAATTCAATACTCTAGTACACATTTGGTAGTAGGTCTTGGCACATGTGACATTATTTTGGATTAATATAAAATATTTTCTTATAAAAATCTATTAATCAGCATCTTAAAGATTCAAATATCAATGCATTTCTACCTTTAAGTGTTTCATTTGTGATGGAAACTAGACTATGCCAGTAGATCAGAATTCCCTTGGGTGACAGCAGGGGACCCGTGGAGAAGCTGTGCAGTCTGAAAACACAGCCCAGGCTGACAGCTGAGCTTCACCCCATAGCCCAGGGCAAGCTGCCTAACTCTTACATCCTCATGCCACATAAACTGCAGAAGTCAAAGTCAGATGATGAAGACTGAGCAAAATGCTGGCAGACCAGGTGACAGACAAGAAGAATTGTGGCAATCCAAGACACCAAGATTGAGCCTACTGGATTTTTAAAACTCCAGGCTGTTGAAACTCCCCTGGGCTAAGCCATGCCTGGTGGCACACACCTTTAATCCCAGCATTCAGGAGGCAGAGGCTGTGGGATTTCTGTGAGATCAAGGTCAACCTGGTCTACATAGAGTTCCAGGTCACCTGGGGCTACAGGGAGGGCCATTAAAAACAAACAAACAAACAACAACAAAAAACAAAACAAAACCAATCCCCCTATGCTCCATACTTCATTCCAGTGAAATATATGTGAAAAAGCGCTCATGAGATGCTGTATAATTTGGTGATTTCATAAGCAGAACTATTCAGAGCTCTTCTGCTGTGACACTGACTGCAAGCACAGGCAAGGGAGAGCCTGGCAACTGCAGACATCTTAAGTTCTCCAGGGCCTTTACCAGACACTAGGCAGGTAGCACTTGGAAAGACATAAGAAAGCCTTCTCAATTGTTCTGATACAACAACACTGAATCTGATACATTCAAAAGGGCTTGGTTTTCATTTTAACTGGAAATTTTAGATTAGATTTGAAGAAAGTTTTAATTAAAAACAAAAATACCCAGCACTTGGGAGGCAGAGGCAGGAGAATCTCTGAGAGTTCAAGGCCAGCCTGGTCTACCTAGTGGGTTCTAGGACATCTGGGGCTACAGAAAGAGAGAGAGAGAGACCCTGTCTCAAAAACATGCAAACAAATAAAAAATACTCCCAAGACTAAGACAAGGGGACACATGAGGGCCTCACCTGCTCCGGAGCTGAGAACCTGACTGTGTCATCGAAGGGGAATGACTGCGAGGGGTGGGAGACCTCAGGGTGGGAGTGCCCATAGTGGTGGTCTTCACTGGGCCAGCAGGAGGGGGCACAGCAGAGGATGGGTTCCTCATGTAGGCACGGTTTGATGTGGACACTAGTTGCGGTGGCGGGCGGCTGAAGTCTTGGACAGAGGAGGAGGCATAGACTCCTGCAGGCTGGCTGTGCCAGGGGGACTGCCGCCAAGAACTAGGCCTCGAGGAGTCCAGGTTGTCCAGAGATTCCCCTCTGAAGCATGGGAAGAAGTCACAGAAGTAACATGACACATTCAATTCAACACCATCCTAATGGATGCATCATTGGGGTCAATATAAGACCCACTTATTTCCTAGGCAGCAATTAATCTGAATCTAGTTCCATATAAAATTACCTTTAACATAGCGGGGCATGGTGGCACATGCCCTTAATCCCAACACTCAGGAGGCAGAGGCAGGTGGATCTCTGTGAGTTCAAGGCCAGCCTGGTCTACATAGTGAGTTCCAGGACAGATGGGGCTACAGGGAGACCCTGTCTCAAAAAGAACAAACAAACAAACAAAAATTACCCTTAACAAATGAATTGCTCCACATTAGTGGCATCATGACATCCCCTGTTTCAATAACCTTTCTATTTACATTGTGTTTGGACAAATGAGTAAGTGCCAAAGTAGAAAGAAAACTATTTGTTAAATAAAAGATAATACTAAGAAGCAGACACTGGACTCTTACATCTTTAACAGTTCAGATACATAAATTTTAGTTTTTCAATTGTTCAACCACAAAATATATTTTAAGCACATAATAGGTATTAAGCTTGGTGTTTACACAGAACTCTTAATCTTTTTTAATCTCATAGAAGCTACCATGTCGCTCTCAAGAATAGAAGCCCTAACATTCAAACCAAAGCCACCTGACTCCATGGATGCCCAGGTTCACCTCCCAGACATCCTGACTCACCACCCCAAGTTTTAAGTTTAAACAGCTGTTTAATGTCCACATTACAGGAAACATTCAACAGCCACATCCTTTAAGTTGAATATATACTAAAAATAGGATTTAGCTATTCTACAAAAGCTAACTCCAAATTATAAGTGTTTTCCTAGCTGGCACAGGAGATATAATCATAGCATATTATTTAAAATTTTTACAGTGTGATGGCACTGCTGTAAATATATGCATTGTGTGTGTGTCAAAAAGAGAAGCACAGAAGTAATTCTGAATCCCATTAAATGTCTTCTCCTTTGCTCTTCTTCCTCCTCCCTTTATGTATTTTTCAAGTTTTCAACAAATATAGAACTTTGTAATCAGATGAAAAGGAGATTTTACATTAAATAAGTTGTATCTCAATAAAAAAAAAAAAACCTTTTTACTTGAAGCTTAAACAATATGGGGCTTTATCTTAACATTATAAGTAATATGTCATCTCAACGATATATCACCCTACAGAGAGAGTCAGGCAGTGTGGAAAGGAGTCCGAGGGAGGGTCAGTGTCCCTTCCTCCTCACCTCACTTTCCACACCTGCCCTAATCTCCAAAGGTAGAAACTCTTAATTATGGGTCTTTTTCAGATTTTTTTTCAGATATGCAAGGAAAATTTACATATACCTACAAATTCATATGTAGGTATATACATATTCATAAACAAATGCAATGTGTGGCATTCCCCAGAAAATGGGCACAGTACACTTTATTTTTTGCAACACTTTTCAATAACTTATTTACCACCTAATATCTGTGATCTAGAAGTATCTTCTGCCTCTATATCCATTCCCTAAGCAGTCCCCTCCCACTGACTCTGGACTTGACCATGTGGCTAATCTGAAGAGCAGGCATCAGTAAACACAACGTACATGGAACGTGATATATGTGGAGTGTAATCATCACTTTCATATCAGGGACATCTTTCTGAAAGCTGCTGCTTGAGTACAGGCACCACACCATGAGGCAGCTCCAGCAGCTGTGTGGAAAGACCCCCACAGAGAAAAAAAGGCTCCAAATCAGCTCTAACTGATCTCCAGGGGGTTAGGGGAGAGCTCCCCAGGAAGGATCAGCCAAGTACAGTCCATGGCCAAGATATTCAGAGTTCACAAAAAGTTTATGTTTTCAGTGCCATTAAGAAAATAAGTAAGTGGGGCTGGAGATATGGCTTAGTGGTTAAGAGCACTGGCTGCTCTTGCAAAGGACCAGGGTTTGATTTCCAACACCCACATGGTAGCTAACAACTGTCTAACTCCAGTTCCAGGGGATCAAAACTGTTTTTGGCTTCCATGGGCACTGTATACACATGGTTCACTTACATGAAGGCAAAATACTTCTACACATAAAAAAATGAATAAAAATTTTTTTTAAATATGGCAGAGACATATGGTGCCTGCCATTTTTACTATCTGAAATTTCAGTAAAAAAAATAAATCTTGCCAGGTCCAACTCCACAGCTATATAAGTGCCAGGGCCAACACCAGGCAAAAAACTGATCAAGCAACCCTCAAACTTCGAATACATTGTTACTTTAACCAAGTTTGTTTAAATAGGGAAAGAATGCACAGAGTTTAGCATAAGAGCACTAGACTCCTTAACCCATTACCTTTTGAAATGTGCCTCCCTTCTCTAATAGCTGCATAATATTCTTTCCAAGGTGCCACTATCGATTGAACTAAGCGTCTTATTAATAGTAGATAGTGTGGTTATTTCCTCTACCATTGCCAATAATGTGTAAGTACGCATACTTGTCTATATATACTTATATTTGTCTAAAAATAATTTAGACAATAAAGTTCTAGTAAGTAAACTGTTCATAGAGTACAAATGCATAAACTTTTGCTTAACGTACCATGAAAAACAATTGACCCAACTAGAAACGGGAATTCTTATTGCCTTAAACAATTGCCAGAACTAGGTTTAATCAGTCTTTGAATACTGTACAAATCCCATAAGCAAAAGGATCCATCATTGTTATTTGAGGAGCGGTATTGATTTTTATATGTTTATTGATTTTCGTTTCTCTTTCCTAAGAGCTATCTGGTCACATCCCTTCATATCCTTGGCCTGGTGGAGGGAGGGGAGGGGGTAGTTATAATTTACTGATGGATTTTTTTAAGTTGTTTGTATATTTAGATAATTAGTTCTTCGTCTGAAAAATATTCTAAATAACTTTCCACACAGTTTATCTCTGAGTTCTGAACCATAGTAGCTCAGTGCTTGTTTACCAAGATACATCTCAAAATATATTGCTCACTTCAATTTGTATCTACATATCTTCCTTCTTAAAGTTGCAAAGAGGTTTTCACACTTTCTGAACCCAATTATCATGATTATAATTTAGCCATTTATCTCATTATGAACATAAACAGGTTTTACATTTTTTAAGTTTAACAACCAAAAAAGCATTAAATGTGTATTTAATTATCTGAATCCTATTCAGAATTCCACATCCAGATTTATAAGCTATTAATGATGTGATTTAGTCCAACTGCCTTCCCATGTTAACCAGGTTTTTCATATAGGACAACAAATTGACTGTGCCAACCTCAAAATACAGTCCCTAGATTAAAGGAAATGATTAGACATCAAGGCTTGCTGGTGTCGGACATGAAATAGAGCTCAATGACTTTTTCCTACTTTCCTTTCTCTCAACAAATCTTAGGTGAGCAAAAATTATGACATCTTATTGTCAAAAAAAGGAAACTAGAAACGAGACATTTGCCTCCCAATGAGGAGGAAGCAGTCCTGAACCATCTCGCACCTTCTCATAATCCCAGGCAGACACACGGGCTCTTTGTTGATGCTGGAGCTGCGCTGTCGGATCCAGCTGTTGTCATTATGGAGAGAAGTTCTCTTCCTCATTTCCTGAAGAATTTGCTGTCTCTCCAGCTCTGCTCCTGAGGGGACTTGATCCTTCTTGGAGCTTCTCTGTGAAAAGCTACTGGTGCCAATTTGGTCTAAATATTTGCTGCTTCCTAAATTTAAAAACACACCAAAAGTTTCAGTATTAGTATATAAGAAATGATAGTAGATCGACCTCCAAAGACAGTGCAACTTCAAGTCTGATACTGTACATGTGTGCTGATTGAGAAACAGGACAATCCATTACTGCTGTTTCCTAAACTGCTGGAAAGACAAAGGGCACCAAGATAAGGGAAAATCCTACCTAGCCAACAATGACAGGGCCACCTATCCTAATGGAGGCTAAATTTATGAGCTTTCACTAGCTACAAACTGGCTGTCACCAAGGGCCATCTGGGCAAATTTGCTCACAGAGAATTTTAAGTAAAATAAAATCTTTCAGGGCAATTTAAAGATAATACATGAAATATAGATTTATTTTTTATTCTTTTTGAAAACAGAAATAGCAGGCATCAGAGACCTGTAGTCAGTAACAGACTGATGCTAAAGTGTGTCTGTCTACCTCAATCCCCACCTGGACCTTTCTCCATCTATGTAACTCATCAGTAACTTGCTTGTTTAAACCCAGCTATAAATGAAACTTATTGCTTAGGGGTTAGTTCTTGCATAATTTCCATTCCATGGGTTCATCAGAAACATACTTTGCAATATCAGAGTTCCAAATCACTTTCACAAAGTAAATTATTTCACTTTGGAGTTTCTGATGTTTTGGCATTTACAAACACAACTTCAAATTTCTGTATAATTTTTTACATCCTCTAGACAATTTTTTGTCCTCTTTCTTTAGCTATAAGATAAAAATCTATGCAAAGCTGTGCCGGCATTCCTTTGAAAATTCCCACATATTTCCTTAGCTATTTCAATGCCTGAGTGCAGTAGTCTTCCCATTATAAAGGAAGCCAAAATAAGCACAAGATAGTTGTTCTACTACAGATACTCAAATATTTTAATTATCTAATATTAATGAATCTTAAACATCCTACCCTTAAAAATATTGATCATGCCGGGCGTGGTGGTGCACGCCTTTAATCCCAGCACTCAGGAGGCAGAGGCAGGCGGATCTCTGTGAGATCAAGGCCAGCCTGGTCTACATAGTGAGTTCCAGGACAGCTGGGGCAACAGGGAGACACTGTCTCAAAAAGACCAAAATAAATATATATATATAT